GCTGACCGATACTGATGACTTTGCAACTTATAAAGTAGCACTCTATGCGTTGGCAGCTAAGAAGATCAGGAGGAAAGAACTAGATAAAATAGCGGTCAACTGCAAAGGGGATTCGGATATTTAATTTGGTGCATTTTACTAGAGAATCTTCTGCTATTCTATTTTATGCAACCAACAATCTTAGTAGTTGTAACCGTGGTTTATATTGTACAGTATGCGTGGTACCTGATGATTTTTATGGTTATTGCTGTTTTTCCTTTCGTTATTTTTCTGAATGATGCCATGGCCTATAGCTAGTGCAATAAAAGTCTATGATGATAATGATGATTGGCATGTGTTCTTGGACTCTGATAAGCTGCTTGTCTGAATGGAGAACAGAGAAGAGTACGTGCATAAACTAGCCTACCGTACCATGGTAAAACTTACATGTGTTGCTCATGTCATTGAATTCTACTCAATATTGATCTAGAGAAGAACTCTGACGTATAGTTAGTAGAGTAAAAACTTAAATACGTTGTAGGAGTTCCAAAAAAAATAGACCAGAGGCAATTGTATTTCATCCAGCAGAGCTTTACTGCTACTGAAGGCAAATGAGCATAATGGTCACAAATCCAATACATTCAGGATTGGCACTGGCCATAAGAAATCCAGTTGCAGCAGACTTAACTTAAACTTACAACAACTTATAATAAGTCTAAACCTTAAGACTAAGTATACAGTCATACCTCAGGTTACAGATGCTTCAGGTTGCGTTTTTTCAGGTTACAGACCCACCAAAACCCGGAAGAACTTCCAGCTTTTTGGGGTTGCGCATGTGCAGAAGCACTAAATCGTGCTTTGCACATGTGCAGAAGCGCCGAATCGCACCTGCGTGTGCGCGGACATGCTGCTGTGGGTTGCGAACGCTGCAGGTTGCGAACGTGCATCCTGCACGGATCATGTTTGCAACCCGAGTGTCCACTGTACTATGTACACAACACCACACCAGAAGGAAAAGAGATAGAAAGCGAAAGGGTGGAACCCAGAGTCCTTCTGGCCTTACTTTTATAGTCAGCATGACCTTGACTGAAAAGAATAATGCAAGAACCTTCTGCTTGTTTCTTTCACACAGAGAAGCTCCGAGAACCCTCTTGAATTAAGTAGAGCAGGAAAGATCTCTACACATCAGATGAATACTTTCTGCACTAAGAAATGCAAGCTGACAGCTCAGTCCACTTTTCCATCATCTTGCCCTGCCCTCCACTAGCACGTGACTGAATAGCATCCCCCATCCCTGCAGCATAGGATGGTGCTGAGTTTTTACTTGTGGTCATGTCCAGCTTTTATTCAACTCTTTGTTGCTTTGGAAGCACCTTGCACTTAAGTCTCACATCCATCCACATCAGTTGTGGTTGGTGTTTCCGGGTGAGGCTCGCCCACCCCACTGCAGAGCTTGGACACCAAGCTTGCAATGTGTGTCTTATAAAATCCCAGGTTTATTTTTATAGTGAAAAGCAGAGTATCTGCTGAAGAGCTCCAGATCTTCCCAAGCTTTTTACACCTCTCCCCACAAACCCTTTATGCACTGGACGGAGGGGGGTGGGGAGAGGACCTGCTCCCAGCAAGGATGCCATTATAAGAAGCAGATAGTGCCTCCCCCAAAAAACACACTTGGTGACATCTAGCCGTGAATCCCACCATCTGCCACATGCTGCAATGAGCCTCGATTCCACAAGAGTGAGTTTCTGATTGGTGAATTTGTCATTGTTTACCCACTCTCGCCCATCTTTCCCAATTGCACTCTCCCCTGATCCTGCGACTCTGTCTGTCATCGTTACATTATTGATGGCTAGCTCCTGAGAAACAATGCCCATATATTTTGCACTAGATACCCAGAATCTATGGGGGAGCACATAAATGGCTGGTTGCTGCTATTGTATTTTTTTTATTTTTAAAACCCTCATTATGCGGGAACAAGATGCTATGTGTCAAGAACATTTCTTGTCAATCAACCTGTTAGATGTTAGATCTTGCCAACTTAAGAACTGAGCGGTGTGCAAGCCAGTTGAGGCTTCTGCTTGGTTTTGCAAGTACCAATATTTATCTGTTGCCTCTGTAATACAGGGGTGCCCAAAATGGAATTCGTTCTACACCTGAAAGCTTGAAAATTGTGCTGGCTAGAGCTGACAAAAGTTGCAGTTCAAATTATCAGGAAGGCACCAAGTTAGAAAAGATTGTTTAGTGGTTGTATAACTGCTGTAGTTTCTAAAATGCCTTTTATATAAAAACCTCATTCACGATATCTTACAGCAAATTAAAATGTACAGACATTAAAACAAGGCAGTGTAACACAAAACAGGATTAGCAATAACTTAGTGTCATAACCACACCACCCAAGCAGCTGCCTGCCCCCTCCCCTAAATCAAGGATAATCAACTTTTAAAAGATATAAAAGCAACCATCCTACCCCATCGTATTTCTGGCAGTAGAGGGTGTTAAGTATAATTGTTTAATTGTAGATTGAAATGGAAAACGACTTTGTATGTGCATTGCTAATGGTTAAATATTGGGGAAATTCTATTGAAGCTAAGAAGAGCTCTCTGAGCTCCTTTTGGGTTGGTGATTAACTGTTAATGTCTCTCTGTGCTTCTCTTACACATGGTGTTTAACCTTAGATCACATGATTAAGGTATTCAGTGGTAAATCGCCGTTTTGAAGGAGGCCTTTGTTCTCAAGCCACTGTGAGTGAACAGCCTCAGGCTCGAATGCAGGCTAATGGATTGGATTGGATTTGATATGTTAATTAGATGTTCTTATTGGAAAATTAATAAACCCTTTAAAAAAAAGAATGCAGGCTAATGGAGTCTGCAGGAGATACATAGCTCTGTTTTATAGTTCTGATTATAAATAGTATTTCATATTTGTAATGTGCTGAACCTATGCTTGGGAAAGCACATGATTTTATGCAACTATTTGGATGTATTACTATTGTTTTATGTCTGTTTAAAGAAAGTTCTGTTAGTAAAGCTCTGGAACCATAGTCTTTGGTCTGAATTTTTTTTATTCCAAGAGGAGTCAGTTTTTATTCATCCTATTGCTTCAAGCTGCACAATATTAATATCTGCAATAGAGGAACCTCTGAAAAGATGATGAAGTCAGTGTCAGGCAGGTCTTGCTGTGGAGAGCATTCTACAGATGGAGTACTACTGCTGAAAAGACCCTGTCCATTGTCACCATTCTTGGAACCTCTCTTGGATGAGGTATCCAAGAAAGGCCCCAGGCATTGGCCTAAAGGTATCAATAGGGACCATTGGTCTGTGGTAGAACATGTGCTTTGCGTGCAGAAGGTTGCAGGTCCAATCCTCAGCAACTCTAGTTAGGGCTGGGAGAAACTCCCTGTCTGAAACCCTGGAGAGTTGGTACCAGTCAATGTAGATGAGACTGGGCTTGAATGGACCAATGGTCTCAGCATAAGGTAGCTTCCTACATTGCGGGGACAGGCAGAGACCCCCACCCCCACCCCAGGCGACTCCCTAGTGGAATAATGACTCGTGACAATGTGTTATGGGATTAAAATTGGCCACAACTTTATTAAAGATTCAGATGTAGGGAGACCTTGGCTTAGGCATTGGCCGTTTATCCCTCCCAGTCCCCAGCCAGGGATCTGGCGAACATCAGGGTTATCCAAAATGTGTGGGGATTGGGCTGACTCTGGAAAACGTATGTTTAAGCAGAGAGGCCGCCCCCCCATTTCGCCGCAACGCAGGGGAGACCACTGACAACCTATCAGTATATGGCCAATGACTCCCCTCAAAACAACCCTTTTAACGGGGAACCCTGGGATCATTGCTGCAGGGAGAGGGCATGGGTAACCGCTTCACACCCCCCCCCCCATTTAGGGAAGATAGACTAAAGGATTCCGCCCACGGCCTGAAACCACCAAAGTTGTGACGTTTTGCTACGGGGAAGGCAAAACCTGCTAATGTAGGGAAATTCTTTCCCAGCAGCGCTGTTTAGGGAAGTTTTTAATATTTAATGCTGTATTGTTTTTAACACTCGATTGGGAGCCGCCCAGAGTGGCTAAGAAAACTCAGCCAGATGGGTAAGGTATAAATAAATTATTATTATTATTATTATTATTATTATTATTATTATTGCCATCTTCAAATATCTCAAGGGCTGCCATGATGGAGCAAACTTATTTTCTCCTGCTCCAGAGGGTAGGGCATGATCCAACGGATTCAAGTTGCAAGAAAGGAGATTCTGACTAAATATTAGGAAGAACTTTCTGACAGTAAGAGCTGTTTGACAGTGGACTCTCCTTCCTTAGATGTTTTTGAGCAGTGGTTGTATGTATTATCTAGTTGAGATTTCTGCATTGCAGGGGGCTGGCCTAGGGGTTCCTTAAAGGTAAAGGTAAAGGGACCCCTGACCATTAGGTCCAGTTGTGACCGACTGGGGTTGCGGCGCTCATCTTGCTTTACTGGCCGAGGGAGCTGGTGTACAGCTTCCGGGTCATGTGGCTAGCATGACTAAGCCGCTTCTGGCGAACCAGAGCAGCGCACGGAAACGCCGTTTACCTTCCCGCCGGAGCGGTACCTATTTATCTACTTGCACTTTGACGTGCTTTCGAACTGCTAGGTTGGCAGGAGAGGGGTTCCTTACAACTCTACAATTCAATGATTCTGTTATTCCATTAATATTAAAATCTAAAAGCAAAACCCTTCTCTCTCTCTTTTTGAAAAAACAAAACAAAACCAGTTTACCCTATCCCAGCATCCATAAACTGAATATATGGCCACATATATCTAATACACAGTTACTGCAGCCTGTAAACTAATTATAGAGGCATTAGAGTCACTAAACCTTGCCTTGTTAATTAAAACCACCGTCAAATGTTTGTACTGCAAAGATTACCACTTGTACTCACAAACAGGAGAGAATCTTAATTGTATTCCATATGCTTAATTGTGCCACATCAAAGTGACTGCATTTTTCGTCTTGGCTCACATCAGTGCAGAGCCACAGCTCAGTGGCAGAACACATGCCTGGCATGTAGAAGGCCCCAGGTTCAAATCCTGACAGCTCCAAGTAGGGCTGGGCATGTCTCCTGCCTGAAACCCTGGAGAGCTTCTGCCAGCCAGTGTAGACAACATTGAGCTCAGATGGACCAATGGTCCCTATGTTCCACAAAAATGTGCTGCTGGAGGATTTTCGCTCTGTGTTCTTGCCAAACCATTGCTTAGTTTTACAAGGCAGAGCCTGAAGTTCACATTGCTCTTTGTTCCCCTGATTTTCTTTTGGCACACATTTTCAGAGTTCTGCCAGTGTTTTTTGTTGTTTTGTCTCAAAATGGCAAATTCATGCCTGATCACCATACTAGTCCCCTGTCTGTAGCTCTGCCTTCTGAAATAAGGGATCATCTGCACATAGCCCTATCCTGTCCTACTTGCAAATTACATTCCTTTTGATCTTTCCAGCTCTGTAGTTTCATTTAGTCACGGCCTACAATAGTGACAGCTGGCTGAGGCAGAACAATACCCAATTACAGTGACACATCTGGGAACTTTGGGGAGGTCGGACAGATGCTTGATTTCTACCATTGTTAAAGCTATCGTGCAAAAGCTTCATTATTATATGCATAAACATGATACAATGTCTATAGGGAAGACTGCTGCCTATCGACCTACTGTGCTTTACAGTAGACAACAGATTGGATCAGGTGGAAGGGAAAGAAAAAGGCACGTAGAAAAGTTTGTGGAGGCACATCAAGCCTCTGTATCCTCAAGACTTGACTACTGCAATGAACACAGTGTGGGGCTGCCCTTGAAGTTGGTCTAGAAGCTGCAGTACCATATTTTTCGCTCCATAAGACACACCTGACCATAAGACGCACCTAGTTTTTAGAGGAGGAAAGGGGGAAAGCCCCATATTTTGGGAGATCAGCTCACAGTTGTGCAGCTTCTTTTGCAAAGGGGAAAAATTCTGTTTTTATGGGGTTCAACTCACAGTTCTGCAGCTTCTTTAGGAAAGGAAAGGGAGCTGTTTCTACAGTTTCCAGACAGATAATCTAATCAGCCAGTCACATGTCACTGGGGAAACAAAAGCCTCCTTCTGCAGAACATTGAACAATGGAGCCCTGGGCAAAGGGCCGGGACTAGAAAGCGAGCCAGCGATTGACCACACATTCGCTCCATAAGATGCACAGACATTTCCCCTTACTTTTTAGGAGGAAAAAAGTTCATCTTATGGAGTGAAAAATACGGTAGGTATAAAATATTGCTGTGAAGTTGTGGTTTGGAGCTAACCATACTACAATTTTGTGAAGCAGCTGTGCTGGCTGCCTATAAGCTACTGAGCCAGGTTCAAGGTGCTGTCTGGATTTGAAGAAGAAGAAGAGTTTGGATTTGATATCCCGCTTTATCACTACCCGAAGGAGTCTCAAAGCGGCTAACATTCTCCTTTCCCTTCCTCCCCCACAACAAACACTCTGTGAGGTGAGTGAGGCTGAGAGACTTCAGAGAAGTGTGACTAGCCCAAGGTCACCCAACAGCTGCATGTGGAAGAGCGGAGACGCGAACCCGGTTCACCAGATTACGAGTCTACCACTCATAACCACTACACCACACTGGCTCTCTGTTACTTGTCCACAAAGTCCTAAACCAGGGGCAAGAAACCACAAGCTTGCATGCCCTTCAAGCCTTTCTGTCTGTCCCTCGAGAGTCTCCCCAGGCCACACCTATTTCCTAACCACACCCCTCTAATGTGCAGCAGGAGGGAGTTCTGGAGGGTAGGTCCCACCACACTAAAGGCCCAGTTCTTATCTCATATAGACTGGACCTCCTGATGACAATGTATCAAGGACTGGCTAGTTGAGGAGGAGTGGTAGAAGCCACCTGACCAGAGAAAGTACAGGAGAGAACAGTCTGGACCCAGGTCCAGACTGGTGGGCAACTGGACACACCCCAGAGGAGAAGAGGAGCTGGGAGATATTGAAAGGTGAGGAATAGGGGCCACCAAGCAGATGCCCCAGCCCTGAGCCAAGATAGTCAGACTTGCCACCAGATGACTATGTGTCTGCCCAAAGCCTGCTAGCACCTCCTCCCTCGCCCCAAACAAGGTGTTTACTCCATGTAACAGAGAACGAAACAGAGACAGGAAAGTTCCTGGAGGCAGAGGGAGGAACCTGACAGCTAGAAAATAGTCTAGAAGGGTTCCCAGGTGTCAAAAAAGGTTATTTATGTGTGCCACTACTACGGTATGCACAGCTTGCAGAATTAACCTATAGAATAAGAGAACAAGAAGAACATACGTTTAGAGAAGATTGGAAAACGTTTATTGAATATATGGGAAATAACTGTGTAGCTACGGCTGAAAACGCTGGCAGCCTTAAGATAAATTAAACAGTGTAAATAAGTTTTGATGGATGTAATAATGGAATACTGAATGGTATAGTTTTTGTAAAATATGCAGGGATTTATGATATGCAAAATGAACCGTGGAAAGAGAAGAAATGAAGTCACTGATATCTTAAGGATGTAAAAATGAGTTCTTTAAATTGTAAAACAGAAAATTTAATTTAAGAATTTTACACACACACACACACACACACACACACACACACATATATATATAGGAGATGAGCTAGCCACTCTGAGCACCAGCTTATGTGAGAGTGCATATCTCACAAGTTTCTGTATATTCCTGTTCTGATTTTATGTTAACTCCAAGTTCGCTGCGTGACCCTGTCTCTCTCACACCTTTGCTTAACTGTGCTACATCTCAGCGTTCAAGCCATGACACAAGAGTATCTGCAGGAGGCCCTCCACACTATCAGTAGAGGTCACAGTTCGTATCTTTGCTGGTGCAGCTGTGGTCAGCATGGGCTTCAGTGGACTCTCAGTCCTTCATCTCTCCAGCTGGCCTTCAATGGTCATGCACTGGTGTGTGCAAGGACCTCCTAACTTGAGAACTGTGCACTCATCATACTGGAGGGAAGTTTCAAGCATGGTTCTGCCCTGGGTACCGTGTTCTTCATCATTTCTACAGTGTCTTAGATGAAGAGCCATAGAGAACAGGAGTTCCATCTTGAATAAAATATGGGGGGGAGTAAGCCCCACCCCACATAATCGATCACAATCTGTGGTGCACACACATCAATTGAATGACAATGCCCAGCAACTGGCTGGCCCCCCAAATCTTTTATAGGGGGGGCAAAGACCCCTCAGCCCTTAGGAGTTGGCTCCTGTGGTAGAGAGTGATGATTAAATTTTGAGACAATGCAAAACTAGGAGGAGCAACTAACCCCTCATAAGACCCTGGAACAAAATTCAAAATAAATTTGATAGAATGGAAATCTGGGCTGGAGATAACATAATGTTATTCAATTGAGACTCGTGCAAAGTTCTGCATTTGTTGGGATGGAAATCATATGCGCAGGTAGACAATGCAGGATATCTGATTTGGCATAAATAGATGAGAAATGAATCTTGGCATTATTGGCCATCACAAGCTTCACAAGCTAAGCTTTGTGTTGTGTTAATAAAGGTAAAGGTAAAGGTACCCCTGCCCGTACGGGCCAGTCTTGACAGACTCTAGGGTTGTGCACTCATCTCACTCTATAGGCCGGGAGCCAGCGCTGTCCACAGACACTTCCGGGTCACGTGGCCAGCGTGACAAGCTGCATCTGGCGAGCCAGCGCAGCACACGGAACACCATTTACCTTCCCGCTGGTAAGCGGTCCCTATTTATCTACTTGCACCCGGGCTGCTTTCGAACTGCTAGGTTGGCAGACGCTGGGACCGAACGACGGGAGTGCACCCTGCCGCGGGGATTCGAACCGCCGACCATGCGATCGGCAAGTCCTAGATGCTGAGGTTTTACCCACAGCGCCACCCGCGTCCCTGTGTTGTGTTAATACAAACACTTTATTATGCACAAGTCCAGCTGCAACTGAGCTACTCTTCCCAATTCTGGGTCCAAATTCTAAGAAGGGTATAAGCATATTGGAATGGGTTTTGAGGAGGGGATTGAAGATGGTGAAGGCAATGGGAAACAAGTTGTATGAAGCAAAGTATTAGGATATGGATGTGTTTATTCTAGAGGACAGAAATGTCTGGGGTAGGGATGGGGGGCATGGAAGGCACTTGAAATACCTGAAGGGTTGTCACAGGTACCAGGGATGGGGAACCTCTGGCTCATTGGCCATTTAAGACCCACCAAGGGTCCAGATTTGGTACATGAAACCCACTTTCCCCAGCCCTTCTACCCTAACAGCATGTGATGTCAGGTGCTGAACAGGTAAATCTGCAAAGGAACAGCCAGGAGTCATGGAATGTGCTCTCTGTTGTTTCTCTACAAGCAGGGCTTGATTTCATTGCCTAATAATAATAATAATAATAATAATAATAATAATTTATTATTTATACCCTGCCCATCTGGCTGGGTTTCCCCAGCCACTCTGGGCGACTTCCAACAGAATATTAAAATACAATAGTCTATTAAACTTTAAAAGCTTCCATAAACAGGGCTGCCTTCAGATGTCTTCTAAAAGTCTGGTAGTTCCACAGGGCAGGCGCCACTACTGAGAAGGCCCTCTGCCTGGTTCCCTGTAACTTGGCTTGCAGCGAGGGAACTGCCAGAAGGCCCTCGGCACTGGACCTCAGAGTCCGGGCAGACGCTTCTTCAGGTCTACTGGACCGAGGCCGTTTTAAATTTGGTGCCAAATACAAACTATCAGGGTGGGATCCACTGGACTGCTCCCAAGTGGAGCCGATCCCTGCCATGTATTTAGATCCAGCAGCAAGGCCCACTGGGACCAGATTCATTTGGGAGTTCCCAATCAGAACTCCCAAGTGAACACAATCCATGCTGAACAAAGAGCTTCCATTTGGTGCTGAATTCAGTGGTTCAATCCTCCTGTCATTGGTGGTCTCCAAAGGGTGGTGATGTTCTAAATTTGCCCACTAGCTGGACCTGGTTCTTCATTCCAGCTCTAGATCAAATGCTCTTAGGTTATAAGAGCGTACATTTTGGTTGACTATTGGAAGAAACCTCTTGATGTTGAGAGCAGTTCAGCAACAGAGTTAAT